CAGTTTTTTCAATCAAAGTCTATTTGTAAGGGTTACTGACGGTCCTAATCATGAATATGGTACTAATTATTCATGCTAACTCCATTTTGCGCGAATTTTGGAAACGTCAACTCGAAATGCAAAAATTTGTCACCACGAGGAATCGAACTAGGGACCCCTTTTCTGGTATTCAGAGGGCCGTTCAGGAAAAATGAACCATGGTTCTGTGGTCCCATATGTGCCCCAATGTCATGCAAGAAACCATTTTGAAAAGCACCCTGAACGACCTCCCTTGTAAGCGAAGGGTTATATTTGACATGTGACATCTGAACCGAGAAAAATACGGTCCCCTAATAATTTTTTTATACCGTATCTTCGAAAGCGCAACGCTTTTTCACCAAATACGCCACTCCCTCCTCTAAATCACAGTTAAGACGCCCTCGTTTAATGCTGCAAAACATATCCAAGAAATTCTTTCAAAGACGCTTGACCCTGCCCTGTAGACAGATAAAATGATAGAGTATTCAGCGTTGATGATTTCTTTGCTGGGATGCGCCACGCATCAAACTTCCATTGTAAATCTTTGTGGCATCATGGACGGGAAATGACATCTACAACAGCTAGCAGAGAACAGCCGATGCATAAGTCAGCGTTTTCATCGTCCTAAACAATTTGGCATATTATAAATGGAAGGTAGAAGGTTTGAATGGCTTGGTAGCGCAGCATCTGCACCATCCACGTTCTGATCCTCAGGACGTGCGCATGGTAAGCAGCGCCATTTGCTACTACACCACTTCCACCCACCAAATCTCCATCCCACATAGTTTTTACAGCACCACAAACCCTTGCATCATCACACGTCCTGCAGCCCTCGTCCTCAACGAAAAACCTTTAGCTAGCAAGTAAATAACAGCTACTACCACATATTAGGTTGTCTCATAAACAGTGTCGCTTTTTTTCAACCAAAAAATTTTCATCTGAATGTCCATGCTTTTACATCGTGTCATATACCATTCGAAAGAATTGTCTGCTCTACAAGACGTTATGTTCCTAACGATCATTTATAAGTTAGGAATGTACGCCTGGTTGATTTTCTCATCTTCTCAGGGATAATTTTTTTCAAAGAAATGCGGTCACTTTCGTGGATAAAGCACCTTATTCCTAAAATTCGAACTAATTCCCAAAAACAAAACAAATGAGCGAATAGAGCAGAAGAAGTGCTCACAAAAGGAACACCACTCGATATGAAACAATGGCGTTTACGAGGAACAATTTCAATTTGAAAATTGCTATGGCTTATCGGTCAGCCAATTCGAAAAAGAAACACGGCAAAGCTTTTTCGGCAACCTAAGGGTGGAATGTTCAGAAGAGGTCATGAGTAAGTAGAGGGTACATCATTGATTGATTTCTCCCCAGGGAAAATAAAGTTAGAGCTAGTTGTCGGTTTGGTCAATTTTTGTTAAAAAGGACCTCCTCGATTACCGAATAACTTCGTATAG